GCTCATAAATGGCTGTTATGTTTAAAATGAGTGTTTATGTAATTATTTTCAATTAAATCCAATATAAGTTTTACTCATTCAAGGCAGTCATATTTGTTCATAACTTTATTAGTAGTAAACCTGAGCATTACCGCATCCAAGTTACCAGAACGCAACCTGTCAAAATAAGAGCGTTCACAAATCCGGTTCCAGCAGGATCCGGCTCAAATTAAGCTCTGCTTTTACCACAGTAGTTGAGTGTCACTGATTGAATGGACCGTGTTAAAATTGTTCTCAAGCTGTCTGATGCGAGTCAAGATTACCTGTCGGTGTGACGAGAGTGAACAGGTAGAACAGGAGGAGGAGCATGCTGGAGGCTTGCACAACGGCAAACATGAGCTGCAACACAAACACAGAGTTGACTGAAAGAGTCTCAGGTGCATTTATTGTTTTTAAGACCGAGAAAGAAGCTTAAAGATCAATTTGTTGCTTGGTGTTGCAAAGAAACGCTGAAAATGAAACATGAAAAACTTGAGGGGATTTTTGGTCAAAGGTTATGGATGTTTTTATCATTATGGCTAAGAACATTCTTCCCCTCTGCCCTGAGAACAAACACGTTTAGATAGAAATAATTAGAAATACAAACAGGTAGAGCATCAGCAGAGAGAGCACATGTGGTCAGATTGTCCTCCAGCAGCCCCAGCTGCATCACATCAGGAATCAGTCTGGCTGGGCTGAGCCATGTTGTCTGTCAGCAGAGGGAGAAGTTGGATTGTGTAATCTGAGGTTTACATTTTTGTCTAGATAGGATTTGTTGTTGTAAATGTATTTATTTTTAAGGTTGCTGTTTAAACGCCACTTTGATCAGTTAGTTTTGTTGATTACACTTCTGGTAGTTTAGTCTATTTAATTTGTCCCCCCCCAGTGTTTTGGAATGGTCTGACCAGACACTTTATAAGTTCCCATTTGTTTCCATCAGGGGTCATTTGGTGTTTTTAGTTTCTTATGTTGGTACCTATAGTTAAATCATGTTCTGTTGATCTTCTTTGGGCCCAGAACTGAAGTATTTTGAGTTTTTTGTAAATAAATGTGAAACTCTTTTTTGGACAAATTCAAGTGTCTCTTGCGAACTCTAACAAAGCAAATAGCTGCATAACTAAAGGATAGGTCAGGAAGCCCAAGCCGACCCTAACTATAGGATTTATCAAAAGGTAAAGACTTGAGTTTAATCTTTAAAGTAGACAATGTGTCAGCCTCATGGACATAAACTGGAAGTTGGTTCCACAAGAGAGGAGCCTGAGAACTGAAAGATCTTCCTCCCATTCTGCTTTTAGAAACTCTAGGAACCACAAGTAAACCTGCAGTCTGAGAGTGAAGTGCTCTGTTAGGAAAATAATGGAACAATAAGGTCTGTACGTAACCTGTCCTGAAACGGACCTTGCAAATTTATAATGTTGGTTCCATCCCCTCAAATATTAAAAAAAAACCTTGAACCGGCAAACAGAAGAAATATTAAATATAGGAGCCTTGAATGTGCAACACATTTTTTATTAAATACTAGGATATAGAAAGTTTCAGTCTCTCCAGCGACTTTTATGTTTTAACAACAATTCTGGTTTCACTCTAGTTAGAAAAGACACATCGGAGCATCACGTTGGCTCATTTTCAGTTTTTATTTGTGATCGTTTTAAAGACAGTTATTTAAACTAAAAGGAAAAGAAGCTGAAGAAACAGCTATATTAGTTTAAGACAAGCCAAGTGATCAGAAGTCATTTTCTCATTCCTTCAGGATATAAAGTACTAACAAATAAATTGTATTATGGGGATATTTTTCTAGATTGTTATTGTAGAAAATGCATTTTATTATTATTACAATTAAATGGACAATTCTAATCATAATTCAGTCTCACCAGAAACAAAGTGGAGTTTTATTTTTGTTCTGTCTTTTGAATAGGATGGGACAAATAAAGTTTGTTAAGCATTTTTTTATTTTTTTTTATTGTGTGTATGAACTGATTTCAAACAAACCCAAATTTGAATTTCACTTCCCACTAATATATATATATATATATATATATATATATATATTACATTTAGAGCCTTTAAGTCACATAAAAGGAGACAAACTGATGTATTTTCTTCACATCTAAACATTTCAGTAACAATAAATATTATTCAGTCTAAGACCTGTAGAATAAGTTTGATTTGTTTTTTACTTTTTTCTTTTAGAGGCTTCTGTTAAAAACTATTAATTTTATCAGTTCAGCTGTGAAGATAATTATAATCTTCAAAATAGATCAAGATAAAATATAACATCACTGCCACCACATATCAGAGAAATGAATAAATTACCACAGTTTATAATAAATATATCTTCTTTGTGTTTTACTTACAGGAATGGCAGAGGATCCAAAGTTTGCTCAGCTCTTTTGGAGCCGGACTTGTTTTCACTCCATCCTGCAGGCGGTTTTCAACCCACACGCTCTGACCGTCGTCCAACCACCGGCTGAAGGAAACTTACGGACTTCTTTCTACGTCTGCGGTTTGTCAACATGGTTCACATTTTTTAAGAGATTACCAAACTCTAGAGAAAAGACTGGAGGCAGAGAATTACGAGAACTTTCTGAACAAACTCAAACGTAAATGTTGTTAAAGTAAATCATTTTGGATTTAAAGGAGTAAACGTGAAACAGTTTTTTGTTTTGGTTCTGACTGGAGGCCGAGGACACGGCCGGAGCCGGTCGCACCGTGAGCTTAAAGACAACAGGTCCGTTTATAAGAAAATACCAACGACACTCTCCGTTTAGGTTTTTAATGAGTGCAGTTTTGTGTTACTTTACAGAAACCAAAGACATTTAAATGCGTCATGTGACCAGTACAATACCTTCAGCTATCGATGCATATTTACATAGTATGAAGTAATTTTTAACTATTTATATTGACAACTTTTGATTTTAAATGGAAAGAAATAAAAATAAATCTGTTGCAGCTGATTTGCTGTCTGTCTGTGTCTGGATACAGATGTAGTTTTTCAACATCTGTAAGAGTTGTTTATCAGTTTTATTTGGTCATTCAGTCAGAATGTCGTTCATCCATCCATTATCTTTGCCTCCTTCTTCCTTTTTGGGTCACGGGGGTCACTGGTGGTGTCCATGTCCAGCTGTCACTGTGTGAGAGGTGGGGGACACCTGGACAGGTCTCCAGTCCATCACAGGGACACAGAGACAAACAACCATTCACTTTCTCTCTCACCTAGGGACAATTTAGAGTTACAATTAGCCTAGCGTGCATGTTTTTGGTCTGTGGGAGGAAACCGGAACACCCGGAGAAAACCCACACAGCACGGAGAGAACATGCAAACTCCACCCAAAAAGGTACTGGGCTGGGATTTGAACCAGCAGCCTTCTCGCTGAGAGGCAACAGCTCTACCAACTGCGCCACCGTGCCGCCTGGAATGTTGTTCAGTGTTCAACAAATCTTCCATCTAGTTAGAACTCCCAGATCCAGACTGACACACTGATGGATAAACCAACCGGACCCTGGTGGTCAACAAGCTACATGGATGGATCAATGCCAACAGACTGTAATCTGGAAAAAGGAGCACCTGGAGAAATACCAAGGACTGCAAGAGGAAACAGAAGTTGTGGAGACTTAAGGCGTCAACAGTCCCAGAGGTCACTGGAGGACTTGGTGCTGTGACCCTCAAACTGGAAGAGTGGCTCCAACAGATTCCAGGAACAACCTCAGAGACCTCTGTCCAGAAGAGCCCAGACCTAGGAACAGCTCAGATCCTGAACAGAACCCTCGAACATTTGTATTTAAGCATTATTCAGACACTTTATACAGTCGGGTGTATTTCAGGAAACAGAAACATGGTGAGCATTAAAGATGTTACAATATAATCACGCAAAAACAAGTGCAGGAGTCAGCGTGCAAATAAAATACACACAAGTATATGCAAACATATACGATTTACAAATTAGTGCATGAGAGCACATGGAATACATACAGTTTATGAATACAGACTGTTTATGAATACATAGTTTATGAATACATAGTTTATGAATACAGACTGTTTATGAATACATACAGTTTATGAATAGACCGTTTATGAATACAGACTGTTTATGAATACATACAGTTTATGAATACATACAGTTTATGAATACAGACTGTTTATGAATACA